GTGTGTGTCTGTGTGTGTGTGTCTGTGTCTGTGTCTGTGTCTGTGTCTGAGCATGCGAGTTCACATAAAGTATATGCATATGGTGGCCTCCTCTATCCCTCTCCATCTTATGTTTTGAGGCTGGGTCAGTCACTGATTCGTCTAAATGGGCTGGCCAGCGACCTCTAGGGACCTGCCCGACACTGCCTTCCCATGGTATTACATGGCCATGCCCAGCTTTTCTAGTGAGTCCTGGAATCTGAACTCATGTCCTCATACTCCAATTGCAAGCACTTCATGTGCTGAGCCGTCTCCCAAGCCCAGTTAGCAGTAGTTTGGATGCAGACAGCCCTGCTATAAGATGAGCCTCTGGGCAAAAGGCGTATGTTCTGTTCATCAAAACTTTACCACAGGGAGGATTCCATATGAGCTTTTTTATGATCATGAGAGGTGAGTGTCCTAAGCCTACATCTACTTAACCATATTCAGGCAACTACGAGATACAAGCCAACCCAACCAATTGCTACATCAGCACATGGGAGGGGAGTCCTTGAGAAAGGTGAGCTTTGTGGGCTAACAGGCAGGGCAGAGAGCAGTGGTCAGCCCTGCAGAAAATTTCAAAGAGAAACAGACCTCAGTTTAGATTCTGGTGAGACCCAGTCCTTCACTTAACTTGCTGACTCACTTTAAGTATGTGAAGAATATGTCAATTTGCTATGACCCTCTCTGATTCTACTAGATTTTCTAGCCACTTCAAGAGGAACAGAAAGCAAAGGTCTGAATGAACTCTTTGCTGGCCTGATAAGAGCCCTTCTAGCCCCAGCTCTCTAGAGAAACAGAAATAAATACACACTTGGCCTTAGTTCATAAAACCGCTTCACCTCTCAGGCCTTCCATTTCTGTATGTATTAAAGCTGGGCTGATTAAATTTGGTAGTTCCCTGGACCCACAGTCTTCTCATTCTCATGGAACATCCATATCTGTCCAACTCTGTCCTCCTAGACACAGAAAGGGAGAGGCCAGAATCAAACACTGGTGTACTTAACACAATGTCTCTGTGGGATGGATGCTGGGACATGGTGCCCAGAGCCCTCGGTGACAACTAACATATTTCTACAGCTGTTGGAACAGTGTCACCCAACAGGCCTCAGCAAACCATTGATCTAGGATCCATGCTGGGCTGTGGAGAGCCACTTTGTCCAGAACCAAGCTCCTTACTAGACCAGCCCGTAACCAATAGAGCACTGATAAAATGACACAAAGACATGCCTTGCTTGCCTGATTCAGAACAATTGTAAGCCCATTCCGACTGGGGATCCCAGTGGGAAGAACTGAGGTTTTGGCTTTAAGTATATTGTCACCATTGCTCTGCTTCCCTTGGCATGCATCTTAGCCCTGCACTGATCCTGTATGCCTCTCCTAATAAAGCATGTGGAAACCTCCACTGTAGACTGCTTCCTGTCAGCACTGACCTACGGCAACCCACACCACCCAGCTTCCCCTTAGAGTTCTCTTCTCAGTGTCTGGCACCACCATCTACACCAACTCCTCCTACACCTGCTTCTTCCCCAGTGTGAGTAACCAAATCTTAGCAATGCTTCCTGATGAGGAAGCTATTCTTCTCCATCCCCCACCCTGACAATGTCTTTAACCATCAGCATCCCTGTTCTTCAGCAATAACAAAACCTCCTTGTTCTAACCCCAGCCTTTTCCAGTCCTTCTGCAAACAACACAAACGCATCTTAAGATCCGAATTTGAGAATTGGAGACCCTACTTAAAAACATTAGGAGTCCCTGACACCTTCAGGGGGAAAAAGTTCAAAATCTTTTGTTAGGTGGATAGTCCATTCTGGCAGCTTATCCTTATCTCTCAAAACTTCAAAAACTCACCACTCCCTGTGCTTTTCCTCACCCACTCAAACAGTCGCATGCCATCTATGGCACTGCTATGCTTTCTCTCTCACTACCAAGCATTGCATATATTCTTGTCTTCTATAGAAATACTCAGCTCTCCATTAGTCACTGACACATTCTGTCTTAGTTAGGGTTACTATTGCTGTGATGAAACACCATGACCAAAAGCAAATTGGGGAGGAAAGGGTTTATTTAGCGTGTACTTCTATATCACTCATCATCAAAGGAGTCCAGGCAGGAACTTGGAGGCAGGAGCTGAAGCAGAAACTACAGAAGGGTGCTGCTTATTGGCTTGCTCATCAAGGCTTGCTCAGCCTGCTTTCTTATAGAACTCAGGACCACCAGCCCAGGGACGGCACCACTCACAATGAGGTGAGCCCTCCCATACCTGTTACTAATCAAGAAAATGATCCTACAGTCATGTCTACACCCCAGTCTTATGAAGGCATTTTCTCAGTCTAGTTCCCCTCCTCTTGCTTGTGTCAAGTTGACATAAAACCAGCCAGCATGCCATCCCAACAGTACACCCATCCCTGTCCATCTTATTAACATAGACCTGTCTGTTCCCACCCTTCTAACATATACAGACATACATTTCTACCCTCCCAACATATATATCAATTTTCACCCTTTCAAGTTATTTACCCATCCATTTGCATCTTTCAACATATGTATCCATACATTTCCTCTCTCCCAACATATATACTTATCCATTTCCACATTTCCACCCTCTCAATCATATATGCCTCAAGCTGTCTCCACCCTCCCCCCATGTAGCCATC